CCCTCTCCCGCAGCACCTGCTGGCCCCACGTGTGCAGCCTCACGCCAGGCCGCCTGCAGTGCTGGCTGCATCCCTGTTCCCTGGCTTTGTGATGGCGAGCAGCAGTGTCCTGACGGGACAGATGAGCAGTGCGGTGAGCGGGGGGAAGCTGGCACCCATCCTCTGTTGTGGGATGGCCTCGGGGGCTGTGGGCATCGAGGGGCCCTGGTGCTCTGGGGGGTGGTAGGGCAGGCCCGAGGCACCTCACTTTTTGCTGGCTATGCTATTGGCTCCTGTGTGGCACCCTGCAGGGACATGTGTGCCCTAGAGCTCCTGGGGGATGTCTGTGGCATGGGGACATATCCTGGATCCTGTGCTGAGTGATGCAGCCCCACCGTCTGCCAGAGAGCCCTGCTGGGGGCTGCTGTGCCAGGATGGAGGGGACCCTCATGGTTGTGCCAAAGCACAAAGTGACTGTGTGCTGTTCCTGCAGATGTTGCCTGTGGCGGGGACCCCCATGTTTGGCAGTGTGACGATGGCCGGTGTGTTTCTAGCAGCTGGCGTTGTGACGGTGCTGCTGACTGCCTGGATGGCTCTGATGAGCAGGACTGTGGTACGTAGTCTCTGCTGGGGTAGGGTGGGGGGGCAGTTGGGGGCACAGGGCAAGGTGTGAGTGCTGCTCTGTTCCCTTAGTGTGTGGGGCAAAGAAGGTGCAGTGTCCCGGCACCCATCACTGCATCCCGCACTGGGAACTGTGCGATCGGCACCAGGACTGCGAGGATGGCTGGGATGAGGAGGGGTGTCCCCAGCAGCCCTGTCTGCCCGGGCAGTGGCAGTGCAGGAACAGGGTGTGCATCATGGCCGAGTGGAAGTGCAATGGGATTGATGACTGTGGTGATTCCTCGGATGAAGATGTCTGCGGTAAGCGAGCATGTTGGATGCCCCTTAATGGACTGAGGTCTGTCCAGGCCACATGTGAAGTAGGGGGTACTTTGCCCTCCTGGGCCCCAGCTCCCCTTGGGATGGTGGCAAGCATCTCAGGAACCTGTTGGCGCTTTGTGGGGCCTCCCCATGAGTCTGGAACCCATGGTTTCCTCTGTGCCGACTGCTCCCAGTCTGCTCTGCTGACATAAGCTGTGTGTGCCATAGCCCCCTGCCCGCCAGGCATGGTGCGGTGCGATGAGGGGAAGTGTATCCTGGAGTCCCTGATGTGCAATGATGAGGACGACTGCCTGGATGGCACCGATGAGCCCAGCACATGCGGTGAGTTGCTGGCCACAGCCCGTGTGACTGGGGCCAGGGGGAGCCGCAGAGCTGTCCTGTGTCTTGTCACCCCTCTGCTGTGTCCCCACAGGTCGGAGCTGCTTTGTACGCAATGGGGGCTGCGCAGAGACGTGCACTGACACCCACTGGGGAGTGCAGTGCTCCTGTGGGGCTGGCTGGGTGCTGCAGACGGACGGGCAGAGCTGTGCTGGTAAGGAGAGGTCAGGGGGTGTGCGCTTTGGGCACCTGCAGCCTCGGCTGCTGAGAGTGGGGTTTCCCCAGAGCCAGTGCTGTGTGGGAACACCTGCCTCAGCTCTGCTCCTGCCTGCGTGTCACACTTGACCCTGCAAAAGCTGTGTCTAGGTCATGTCCCAGCAGCAGCTGGTGCACTTTGGGGCTGGGACCCAGGTCCCAGTATCTAGGGAGCTTGCCAGTGGTCCCTGGGGAGCAGTGGCGGTGCTGTCTGGGGGCAGCTAGCCAGCTGTGCGGTGGGCTCCTGGCAACGCCTGTCCCTGCAGATGTGGACGAGTGCTCCCTGGAGTACAGCCCCTGCAGCCAGCTGTGCAGCAACACCCCGGGGGCTTTCAGCTGCGCCTGCCTCCAGGGCTACACCCTGCGGCACGGCACCATCTGCGAAGTGACAGGTAGGGTGAGCCGGGGAGCCTGGGCTGTCTGAGGGGCTGGGCAGTGCCCCCAGCTAGCCAGGTCCCCACTCACCAGGTGAAGTCCCCCTTACCTTGGCAGACAATGCAACGCAGATCCTGGTGGCTGTGGGGCAGGACCTGGCACTTCTGGATGTGCGGACCCAAGCCTACCGGCCCCTGCTCTCCACCGAGACCGAACCCCGTGCCCTGGTGTACGACCTGCTCCGGGAAACCTACTACTGGCTGACAGAGGATGGCGAGCTCCGCACTCACCTCCCGGGGAAAGGCACGCAGCCCCTCTATGCAGGTGGGGAGGAGCAAAGGCGCTGGGTGCTGTAGCAGGGCTGAGATGGGTGCTGAGAGCTGGCCTGCCACCCCAGCCCTACCCTTCCTGTAGAGGAAGGGGCAACCTGGGTTTTGCCTCTTGGCCTGCAGCAGGGGTTGTGTGCCTTAAACTGCTCTGTCTCTGCAGATGCCGGGGAGGTGAACAGCATCTCTGTGGACTGGTTCACAGGGCAGCTGTACTGGGCCAGCAGCCACCCTGCAGCCATCTGTGCGGGGCTGGGCGATGGCCAGGGCTATGTGACAGTGCTGGGGAAGGATGTGGCACCAGAGCAGCTGACAGTGCATCCAGCTGCAAGGTGAGGAGCAAGTTGAGACTATGCTGGCCCTGGGCTCCTGGGTAAGCGATGCTGGTGCTGACCATGTCATGGCAGCTCTGGCATTATGCCGTGAAGTGGGTGCTCAATGCGTGTCCCCAGGTGCCTGTACTGGGTCAACCGTGGGCAGAGGGGTCGGACAGTCATCACCGCAGCCGGCATGGATGGCTCAAACCGGCGGGAACTCACAGTGGTGTCCATGGAGGAGCCTGTGGGGCTGAGCCTGGACCATGTGGCCGGCAGGCTGTACTGGATCAGCGAGTACAAGGAGGTAGGGGTGTGGGGTAGCAGGGCACTGCCCCGCCAGGTGCTGGGAGGTGGTGAGGTGGGAGTGGGGAGGGTGGCCCTGGTTCCCGTGTGGCTATGGCCAAGGTATGGGAGGTAGCAGGGAGCAGTGCCCATGTCTGGTGCATGTCCCTGGGCTGGGAGGGGGAAGGCACCACTGTGAGCCCCGGGGCTGTGGGACGATGCCGGGGTGTGGGGGGTGCTATATGGTCACTGTGCCTTGCCCTGTCCGCAGTCCATCGAGACGCTGCGGGTGGACGGCAGCGGGCGCCACTCCTTTCCTGCTGTCCTGCGGAGCCACACAGAGCCACTGGGCCTGGCTGTGTTTGAGAGCCGGTTCTTCTGGACTGATGGCACAGAGCTGGCGTCGGCCACCCGGGCCTCTCCCCAGGAGCATGCAGTACTGCTCCGTGCCCCCGTCTCAGCTTTCACTGTGCTGCACGTGCTGCAGCAGCCTCCCCGTGAGTACCCTGCCAGGCACCTGCTGCAGGGCTGGCAGCACCCCCACCTCTTCCCTGGGTGCTAGGGGAGGCCGTACTGTGTTCTGGAGCTCACCGGCTCCTGCCCAATGGCTCTCCTGGTCCTGCAGTGAGGGGTTATGGGGTTGTGACAGAGGGGACATATGAACCCATATGAAAGCTGCCAAGTCTTATGGCTTTGGGTAGAGCTGAGCCCTCCGACCTCATGTGACACTGCCACCCTGCCTAGGGTAGCCGGTCCATATCCAGCCCCAGGACAGCCTTGTGGTTTTTGGGGATCAGGAGAGGCATGGGCTGCCTGAGCTCTTAATGTCCCCTTGCTCCCAGGAGACACTGCTGCATGTGCTCCGGGCCTGTGCAGTCACCTTTGCCTCCTGTCCCCTGTGCACCCTCGGGGCTACAAGTGTGCGTGTCCAGAGGGCCTCTTCCTCCTGCCCTCAGGCAAATGCGCAGGTGAGCAGGGTCTGCAAGGTGGGCTTGGCTGTCTGGGGTGGGATGCATCCCTGTGGGAGTCAGAGGGGAGGCCATAAGGGGCTGTGACTTTGGTGGGACGAGGTTCCCAGCACACACCAGTGCTGTTACATTTCTGCCTGGGTTCATGCTGGTGCCCCTGTCCAGTGCCCCTGGGGCCATGCTCACACACTGCCCTTGTACCCCACAGAGCTGTCCATCGTGTATGCATCAGGGAAGACCATCTCCCTGGTGCAGGTGGGCCCTGGAGCACGCAGCAAACGGGTGCAGGAGTGGCAGGAGTCCCTCCACCTGCAAGATGTGGACTGGCAGAGGTCGGTGCTTTATGGGACAGATGACCGTGGGACGCTACTGCGCGTTGTGGGGCACCCTGGCAAGAGAGAGGCCATTGCAACTGGGCTTCCAGGTGAGACCCTATGGGGTGACGGAGGGCATGCTCCTATTCCTGGTCGTCCCTGAGGCCTGAGGATCTCCTGGGTGCAGAACACAGCAGTCCCATGGTGCCCACACTGGGACTGTGCTGAGGCACCGAGCAGCTGTGCCCTGGTTTTAGGGGCAGGGGGGATCCGGGCCCTAGCAGGTCATGGGACAGCCCCATAACTGCTTGCCTGCCTACTCTTGCCAAGTCTGTTCTGCCCGCGTGGACATCCGCTCGGGGGACCTGTACTGGCTCGCATGTAACCGGAGGGACATCGGGGTGATCCAGGCGTCTGACATGTCCCCACGCATCTTGCACCGTGCTCGCGGCAGCATCCAGCACCTCTTCTTGTGGGGCGCTCTGTGCTGTCTGGCCCGTGGGCAGCCCCTGCAGCAGCTGAGCCTGGCTGGGGGTACCCCGTGGGATGCCTGGAATGAGACGTGGCCTGGAGACCTGCCTGCAGCTATGGATAGCAGAGCCTTCAGCGTGCTCTGGAGCTCAGCCATGGGTGAGCCCTGGTGGTATCTGGACCAGGGAACGGAGGCAGGAGTTGCTAGCTGTGCCCTACCTGCAGCAGGTCCCTGCCCAGACAGTGGGGTGCTCGTGAGGCAGACTCTGTCCTGTGGGTGAGCCTCTGGCCTCAGCCATGAGGTCCCTGCCATAGTTGTGGGTTGTGGGGACACAGGGTGGGTCACAAGGGGTGCCTGCAGACTCCATGGCACTACTATCCCTCTGCCTCGCAGGCCTGCAGGCACTGAGTCTGACCAAGCGGCAAGCAGTCACCCTGGCACCCAGCTGGTCCCACGGCCTTCTGGCTGCCTTCGAGCCATACCTGGTGTCAGCAAATGGAACGGCTCTGCTGCTGTGGGACCGGAGGACGCTGGCCCTTGTGCTGTCCATGCCGGCAGTTTTTTTCTTCGTGGGCTCGGAGCTGCAGGCTGGTAAGAGTGGCCATGGCTCTGTGGCTGGTGCTGGCGCTGTACCTGATGGGGCTGGGTGGTCCGTGCTGCTCCAAGCTGGGGCAGGGCACCTGGCTGCTGGTGGCCGTGTGGGGTGCTCTTGGAGGTGCCTGGACTGTGGGGAGGGCACAACCCCAAATCTAGGCTCCATATTCCTGTACGCATGCCTCTGCCAGTGCCACCAAGCAAGGGGTCTGCCCTGCCACTCCCTCCACCTGTGACCACCACTACGAAGACAACCACAAGCATCACTGCTGCTCGGCGCACCGCCTCCACCACAAGACCTACGCCAAGCAAGACCACCACTGCACTCACCACTACTCGTGCACCAACCAGCAAGGCTACCACAACACCAACCACCACCAGCCAGTCCACATCAACCAAGACCACCGCTGTGCCAACCACTGCTCGGACCACACCAACCAAGACCACCATTGTGTGGCCAACCACCACCAGCACCACCACCACTCGATTCTTGCCAACCAAGATCACTGCCCCGCAGCCAGCTACTACCACCCAACACCCAGCCAGCCCTGCAAGGGTAGTGCCACCTACCCCATCCCTCCTGTCCAGCCCTGCGCACCCCCCGACTCCAGTCCTCCGTTTGTCCTGTCCTCGCACACATGTGCCCTGCCGTGATGGCACTGAGTGCGTAGCCCAGGAGTACGTGTGTGATGGGGAGAAGGACTGTGCAGATGGCTCTGATGAGGACGGGTGTGCCCAGCTCTGCGACACCCCAGGTAGGAGCCATTCTTCAGTCCCCTGTGCAGCTAGGTTGCCCTGTGCCAGGGCTTCTGGCTGCTTTCTGGTGGGGTTGTTGGGATGGGGCCCTGGGAAGGTCAGAATGTGTCCTGGGCTCTGATGCTTGTGATGTGGCATACTGATTTCTTCTGAGCTTGGCACTGGGCTGGAGGTGCTGTCAGAAGGAGACAGGGGTGGCCTCACTGCTCACAGTAACCTAGATGTGGCTGAGCTGAGACTGCCTCAGTCGCCATGCTTGGGACGTAGGCTACTGGAGATGCACTGACTAGGAGGGACCAAGCCCTATCGCTGTAGTTGGGGCCATTCTAGGTTGCTGGGGGCTAGCAGAAGGTCTGGGCACCCTGAATGCCTACTGCAGGCTTAGCAAGGCCCCTTGTCTCTCCAGGTGCTTTCCACTGTGCAAGTGGAGCTGTCTGCATCAGGGCTGGGGAGCACTGCGATGGGGTGCCGCAGTGCCCGGATGCCTCTGATGAGACAGGCTGCTGGAGCCCCACTCAGGAGTGTGCCCTGCGCTGTGATGCTGCCGCCCGCTGTGTCCCCAAGAGCTGGCTGTGTGATGGCCACGCCGACTGCCTGGACCATGCTGATGAGCAGGGCTGTGGTGAGACCCTGGGGCCAGGTGGGACTGGGGCTTCTGGGGGCTGCCTGCCCTACAGGTAGGTGCACCAGGTTTCCTGTGGGTCCAGGAGCAGGCACTGCCCAGGGCAACCTGCCGAGCAGCTGGAGGGGCCATACCCTGCTCAGTGCCATGCCTGTGCTGGTAGGATAGGGATGGGGACGGGGACAGTGCCCCCGCTCAGCCCTGGCCCTGCCTGCAGCACCGAAGGAGTGTGGCCCGGCTGAGTTCCCCTGCCGGAGCGGGCAGTGCGTGCCCCTTGCCCTGCGCTGTGACGGTGACCGCGACTGCCGGGATGGCTCAGATGAGGAGGGCTGTGCTGTGCCCCGGCCGCTGCTCTGCCGCACGGGTGAGGTGGTGTGTCCCCGCAGTGGGGAGTGTGTGCCGGAGGCCTGGCGCTGCGACGGTGCTGCCGACTGTGGGGACGGCACTGATGAGCAGGTGGGTGGGGTGGTGGGGGCACAGCCTGTCCCCCCTTGCTCCCAGGAGGGCTGGTGGCCCTGTTCACCCTCTGCTCTTGCAGGGCTGTCCCTGGGAGGAAGGGCTGTGCGGGGACCGGCAGTGGGGCTGCTCTCACGGCCACGAGTGCATCCCTGATGTCTGGCGCTGTGATGGAGAGAGTGACTGCATGGATGGCAGTGATGAGGCTGGCTGTGAGCAACATCCTGCTTTTATCCCCCCTGTGTCTCGCCCGGGGGTGGTTGGTGGGTGCCCAGCACAGAGGGAGGTGGGGACGTGTCTGTGCCAAGGCGAAAGGCCCTGTGTGCTGGCTGCCTCTTCCCAGCATCTGTGGTGGCTTCAGGCCCCAGGTAGCTGTTGTTCCTGTAGGGCTGGTGGCCTTGGGATTAGGACAGCCTGAAGCCAGGCTCCAGGCACAGCTCTGGATGTGGCTGCAGTAAGCCCTGGGCACCCTGTGGGAGCAGCTCAGTCTCTCAGCTGAGCAAAGGGAGCTGGTGGATGAGACTCAGGACGGCATTCCCCACATGTCCCTGCAGGCCAGCCTGCTCCCTGCCAGAGCCATGAGTATCCATGTGGGCTGGGGGCCTGCCTGAACGCATCCCTGGTGTGCGATGGCCGGCAGGACTGTGCGGACAGCTCGGACGAGGGGGGAAACTGCTCTGTGCCCTGCCAGCGGTCCTGCGCTCATCTCTGCTACCCCTCGCCCCAGGGCCCTGTGAGTGTCAGCAGCCCTGGTCCAGGGGCTTACCCTGCCATCCTGCCCCAGGCCAGCTGCAGGAGGGACCCTCCTGTGTCCCAAAGGGGGGACCCTGACAGCCCCTTTCCCCACAGCGGTGCTGGTGTGACCCAGGCTATCGGCTGGCTGAGGATGGTCTGTCCTGCATGGACATAGACGAATGCATGGAGTGGGGTGAGGGAGCCTGCAGCCAGACATGCCTCAATGCCCCAGGGTCCTACAGCTGTGGATGTCTTCCTGGTTATCTGCTGGAGCCTGATGGCCGTGTCTGCAAACTCATTGGTAAGCCCTGGGATGGCCAAGCAGTGCTGAGGGTTCCTGGCACTCTAGAGTACACCAGGAGCCAGTGGGTACCCGTCCCCCATGCCTGCTGCTCACGAGGAGCCTTGCAGTCCCACAAATGCCCCTGTCCCCTCTACCACGTGGCCTTCCAGCTGTGAGCTGATGCTTGCCAGCCTGTGGTTGGTCAGAAAATCTATCTGCACTAGGTGGAAAATGTGCTGTCCAGTAGAGCTGAGTCCCAGCAGGCTCCAATGCCTGTGAGTGCCATATTACTCTATGTGCTGGGGCCATGGGGCCACCAGCACTAAGCAGGGTCTGGGTGTCTCTGTGTTGCCCCAGGACCAGAGCCCATGTTGCTGGTGGCCCTGCAGTCAGAGGTGTTGTCCTATGGCCTGCGGAGTGGGCATGAGAAGGTGCTGCTGGCCACCGACAAGGATCGCGTTGTCTTCTCGCTTGACTATGACCTGGTGGAGAGAAAAGTCTTCTGGATGGATTTGGCCACAGAGAGCATCCGCTGGCAGGACCTCAACTCGGGCAAGAAAGGCACACTGGTGAAAGGTGGGCTGTGACAGCATGGGGTTAGCAGGGCTGGCCTCTCCATGGCTGTGCAATCTTCAGGTTGCAGTAGGGTGCCAGGCTATGTCCCCTTGCATGGAGAGGTGCTGGTGAGAACAGGGTTGGGAGGAGCTGGAGCTCCTGGGATAGGAGCATTATGCCAGAGGGCCATGCAGCTGTCACCCCATGGGTGCTGACTCTTGGGTGCATTGCAGGTGTGAGATCAGACTGTATAGCAGTGGACTGGCTTGGGAGGAACCTGTACTGGACGGATGGGGCAGCAGGGCAGGTGCTGGCCACTCACCTGGGGGCAGCCTGGCGAGGGATACCAGAGTACACTGTGGTGATGGATGGAGACCTGGACCAGCCCCACTCCCTGGTGCTCCAGCCTCTGGCAGGGTAAGGCTGGGACAAGAGGACATGGGGGCCTCCTTGCCATCCCTGCTCTGCCCCATTTTCCTCCACGGAAGCAGGCAACAGGCTGGAGAAGATTTGGGATGGCCTCACCTGGGTGCTGTCAGGGCTGTGTGACTGGGGAAGAAGGAGCCCGGGCACCTGCCCCTGCTCTGGGTGGAGCTCTCAGTGCATTCCCAATGGGCTCCATGCTGCTCCTCTGGGCTGCCTTGGTACTGGGATGATGCTGTGGCAGGTCTGTGGGCCAGCACCTCTCTTCCCACCAGGCTGCTGTACTGGTCAGAGGTGGGGAGCCACCCACGGCTGATGGAGGCTACCATGGACGGGAGTCAGCGGCACGTGCTGCTGGCCCAGGGGCTGGGCTGGCCCACAGCACTGGCCCTCGACCTTCCCACCTGGAGGATCTTCTGGCTGGATGAGAAGCTGGGCAGCATTGGTTCTGCACGTCTGGACGGCACCAGTGTGAAGGTGTGTGGTGGGGCTCTGGTGACAGGGTCCTGATTGGGCCTGGGTGGGTGCTCATGGCCTCTCTGCCAGGTCCTGCAGCTGGGCTGGGTCCGGAGTCCCTTCGCGGCGGCTGTGGGCGAGGGGCAGCTCTCCTGGTCAGAAAAGAAGGCATGGTCCGTGCAGCAGGTAGACAAGGCCAGCGGCAAGAACAGGACCGTGCTGCTCAAGCGACATGGGCAGCCTCACGGCCTCCAGGTACCTGTGCAGGAGAGCCCCGAACCTTGCTGTGCCAGCTCTGCTGGGGCTCCCACCCTCGCAGCCCTGCCATCCTTTTGAGCCACTGGGAGCTGTACCCCCATCCTGGTGGTCCCTGGACAGCAGTCCCTGTGGACAAGGGTCTCTGGTCCTCTTGGAGCATCTCTGTCTCACCATCCTGACCCCAGCTGGGCCATGTGCGGGCCTTGGGAGCATCACGTGGTGTTGCTTGTGCTCAGCTCTGCTGCTGGGTGCTGGCAGGGCTGTG